TAGTACAGTCCCTCATAAACAATCATGATTTCATCAGTTTGGAAACAGCCATTTTCGATCACCTGTATTAAGAGAATGAATGAATAATGGACCTAATTATTCAAACTAATGCCTTGTAAAAGTCCTGGACTTTCTGTGCCCTGTTTCTCACTTCAAAACAAGAAATCAACAGAGATACAGACATCTCTTGGTATCTGAGGGTTGTTTGCAGGGACAATCACGCCTAACAAAATTCAAGGATGTTGAAGCCCCTCATAAAGATCATCTATAGATTACTCATAGTATCTTACACAATGTAAGTTGTCATTTATATTGTTTATGGATTAATGACAAGAGAAATGGTCTGTATATGCTTCTACACACCTACATTTTTTGAACACTTTGAATCCCTGCTGATATAATCAGTAGATGTGGAAGGTGCTCTAGTGGAGGGCTGAGTATATATAACTCATTGGATATGTAACAAAACTTATTTTTGGTGAAGATGACTCTAAATCAAGGCTACTAAATTCTATTGCCAAAGTGCTTCCCTCATCATAAAGAAAAGCCACTTTTCTTCACTATTATCAGGATTGGGGCTTGTAAATATCACTTAAAATATTATCCAATATTCTTCATCTGCCACACAAATGGTCTACATATCTCTTCTTACTCTATACATTCCTTAACAGACAGGGGTGGGCATTTGGGGGAATTACTAAACTGTTTATGACGCCTGAGTCCACCGCTAACTCTGGTTCCTCACTCCAGCTGCCTGCTAATGTAGGCCTTGGGAGGAAGGCAGCAATCACCTAGGTAAATCCCCGCCAAAGATCTGGATGGAGTCCTTGGCTTCTGGCATCAGCCTGGCACCACCCTGGCACTGTCACTGCAGGCATTTAAGAAGTGCATCAAGAAATGGGAGCTGGCTTGCTCACACTCTCTCGAACGGGAAAAAAAAAAAAAGAAAAAGAAAAGGCAGTTCTACAAGTTTATCCACGAGGTCTGATATGAGAGACAAAAATCACACTACTTCTGGAATTCAGTAGGAAATTCTAAAATGTGATACACAACCAAAATAGCTATAGGAATTTTTAGCAATTATCATCTACATTATTAACTATTATACAGAGTCAGCAGTTAAAAGAAACTAGCATTCATTTGTTAAGACTTAGGATTTATCTTTTTCAAAAAACAAAAAAGAAATTGGAAACCTGGAAAAAAAAAGATTGAAATAAAAATAGTCGATAAGAACATCTATGAATCGCTTCTTGGCGTTTTGGCTAAGATCAAGTGAAGAATACCTATGAAAATGTACATTACTGGGTCTAAAGTTCAGAAAGAACATATACAATTCTAATGCTATCCTCTTCAGAATTAGACCTGCTCCAAAATCTATTACCCATATGAATGAATTTGCTTGGTTCAGTATCGCTGTATCATTTTCCAATGATATCCTGTAACTTTGATCATGCAAATGCCCATAATCTAGACTGTTTTACTACAACGCTAAATCCTCTAAGAAATACAGAAATTCTCCTTTAATCTTACATCATAATGCTTTGTGTGTCCCTGCTGTTTCTTCAAGAATTGATTAAATAAAAGCACAGATGTTCTGACTCCTGATCCATACATCTAATCAGAGGAACTTCCTTTTCCCATATCATGATTTGACACCTTGTTACAGGGATTATATTTGTGCTCCTCTGAATTGCAAGTTTTTTTCTGGTACATTACGGTGAAGTCACACTTGGAATAATCATCTACTGGACTACTCTGAGCTTCTGGCCTGCCTTACTCCTGCTTACACAGATTTTGTTCTTTAACTAACTTCAAGCAAACTGTCAATATGCATTAACATATTCAATATTTTATTTCATGATTTCTCCCTGTGTTTCACATTAACCATCCTTGTCTTATTCTTACTTTTTTAGTAAGCATTTTTATCCAACATTTACTCAACAAGTGACTTCTTTCTTCTCCTTTTCTATTTTTACTACTAAAAAGAAGTTTCACAATTAACACCTTAGATTTTTTATTCAGTTTCTATAATCTACAACTTCTTCTTCAACAAAACCACCCTACTTCTTATTATCTTAAAGCATTACATGACAGGAAAGTCACCAAAGACCCTTTCCCTTTTTCAGATGTCTCCAAGCTTTAGTATATGCCAGAGAGCATTTTGATGAAAGCCAGAGCCGCCTTTAAATATTTTTAATTTTTATTGGCCCCAGTGGCCTAATGGATAAGGCATTGGCCTCCTAAATATTTTTATTTTTTAAAAGATCACATGTTAAACTTATCTTTTACTTCCATTGGGGTTTCCCACAATACTAAAAAGCACAATCTGGTTAACTGATATACATGGTACAATGTGTGCAACATAGGAGTGAATAACACTCACAAAACATTAGAACTGGGTCAGGTGCAATAGCCTAGTAGTTATAGTCTTTACCTTGCACATGCTGAGATTCCCATATGGGAGCCAGTTCAAGTCTCGGCAGCTCTGCTTCCCATCCAGCTCCCTGCTTGTGGCCTGTGAGAGCAGCTGAGGAGAGCCCAAAGCCTTGGGACCCTGCACTCATGTGGGAAACACAGAAGAATCTCCAGGCTTCTGGCTTTGGATCAGTACAATTCAGCTGTTGCGGCTGCATGGGGAGTGAATCAACACATGGAAGATCTTCCTCTTTCTGTCTCTCCTCCTCTCTGTATAGCTGACTTTCCAATTAAAAAAATAACAACAACACTAGAGCTAAAAGCTTTTCAGCTGATTTGAGATAGCTCTCCTTTCGGGTGAGAAAGAAATGGGGACAAGCATGTGGCTCAGCAGTTAAGATGTCTGTTACTGATATTAGAGGCCCTGTAACCAGTGTCCCACTCCAGCACATCCTAGGCGGCTACAGGTGATGCACTTTGATCCCTGCCACCTGCCTGGGAGACTCAGAGCACAGAGATGCTCACTTCACACTGGCACATGCATGGCTGGTATCGCTATCTGTGGCATAACCAGCAGACGAAAGATCTTTTTCTTTATCTCTGTCTCTCCTTATCACTCTGCTTTCCAAATAAATAAATTCAAAATTTTGGTGGGTATGCAGGAAGGAGGGAAGGATGCACAGAAGCATCAATCAGCTCCTAAATCTGTATTAGGATAGAGATGCGATCAGTCCACTTGATATAAATAATTTAAAAAATCTTAGCCGAAAAAAAGTGTAAAACCTAAAAAATTCTCTGAAATTAGTTACTGGCTTAAGAGAAACAAGAAACCAAGACCAAACATTAAAGTAGCACAGGCAGCACCGTGGCACAGTGGTAAGTCATGTCTTAGGACGGCCACTTTCCTAGTCACAATGCCAGTTCAAGTCCCATTGGCTGTACTTCTGATCTCCCTTTCTGTTGATACGCCTGGAAGGCAGCAGCTGACAGCCCAAATACTTAGGTTTCCATCACCCACATGGGAGACCCAGAGGGAGTTCATGCCTACTGGCTTCAGACTGAGCAGGTACCAGCTGTCATGGAACTCTGGGAAGCAAGCCAACAGGCAGAACAAAATCTCTACCTTTCAAATAATAAATAAATAACATCTTATTTTTTTTCAATAAAGAAAGTTGTACCCAAAATATTCACATCAAAAGAATTATTCAGAATTTAAAACACCTCCTTTTTTTCCTCCCAGTGGACAGAGGGAAAAAAAAAAAGAACTATTACATCTGCCCCAATCACGTTCCTCTATACCTCAACCCTCCATAGCTCAGAACAAGGTCCACACGGGCATGCATTCCTCTCCATCGTGCAACAATATTACAAATAAAATGAAAAATTTAAAACATATTTCTAAGATAAATGTTAAATAGGTTCATAAGCAGTTCCAGAAATAAGTATTTAAAGGAACTTACTTATTTTCAAGGGTCTTACAGATTTTTATTTTGCTTGTAAATACGATTTAGCTCTTCAGGTGTGACAGTTATTTTGGGATCAACTATTTAAAGAAGAAAGAATTTTTCACACTAAATGAAAGAAACGAATAACTAATAGTATTAGATGATGTATCCAGATTAATTTGCCACTTGGTAGGCTTACAGTCCTGCAATAAGCATTATGGTATGAAAACTGAACACAAGAAAACCTGAGAGCATAGAAGTCTCAGACAGGGCTCCATCTTTCAGAGGCCAAATACTTCCCACCTCTGTTGCGACTGTTTCAATTCTATCGCCACAGTGAGACAGCAGACATAGACCAAAACATAAATGAATGCTCTTGGCTAGGTTCTGATAAAATTTTACTAATAAACACTGCAATTTATATTACATTATAAATTTTTATATTTCAATTTATATTTCATTATAATTTTTATGTGTCAAAACTTTTTCAACCACTTAAAATATAAAAACCATTCACAGCTCACTGGCAAACCTGAGTTTGGCCTACAGATTATAATCCTAACCTAAGGAATAGTGGGAAAAGACAGGCAGGATACAGTTGGGTGACCATTAACCAATGCTCCCGCATTAAACCTAAATAGAAGGGCTGGTGCTGTGTTACTGTGGTTAACCTGCTGGATTCTGCTTCAACTTCTGGCTGCGCTCCACTTTTGATCCAGCTCTCTGTTGATGAGCCTAGGAAATCAGTGGAAGGTAGACCAAGGGCTTGGGCCCGTGTATCCACGTGGGAGACTTGGAAGAAACTCCTGGCTTTAGCCTGTCACACAGCCTTGGCCAATGCAGTCATCTGGAGAATCAACCTCTCTTTGTCTCTCCCTTTTCACTGTGTAAACTCTGCCTTTCAAATAAAAAATAATTCTTTACAAAACAAAATAAACAAAAAATAAATAAAAAAGAAGCAAACTTTTCAACCCTCAGAGACCCCATACTGAAAAAAAAATTTAATATATTTCACTATCTTTAACATAAAATAACTTTAAAAGCAAAATTAATTCATGGGCAAAAATAATTCTCATAAAGAAAAACACATAAAAAACAATTTTAGACAGATAATCTATATCATATAAAGTAATTCATTACCATTTTGTCCCTGAGTCGTTCTCCACGGATAACAAAGTCAGCACAGCCATTCTCTTCCTGCTGAGGGACTCGGTAGACACTGACGCTGCTTAGTCCACTCCCTCCCAGTGGTAACCAGCCACCACTCGAGTCATCTCGGGTCATCACCACAGCTCGCACTCGTGCATAACTATTACTAAAACAGATACAAAGATCATGAGTTAATTTTTCCATAAACAAAAACATGAAACTATCAGTGTTGAGAAACCAAAGACCAGTATTAGTTACATACAGCAATTAAAGTGTTTACTACATTCATGATAGTACACAGAAAGCAATCTACCTGGAAGACATAAAAACCCATAAACTAATAAACCTTATGGGCTATGTTTTATTTTGATGATTAATCTCATAATAAAAGATTACAAACCTTTTACTTCAATTCACGTTTTCAAGAGTTCAAACACATCTGACTACCAGGAAATGAGTTGTCAAAGAACCCAAACACAAAAATGATCAAACTACAGAGGTCACCACCAAACCTGTCAATTAGTGTTGTTGCACTATTGTAACTGCTGCAGCATTTTCGCATGCTTAAGTGAGGCATCTATAAGTTCTAACAGTTCTGAAATAAATAAATCATTGAAATAAGTATACTTAGATGAGACACCACTTTTTTTTTTTCCCCTACCAACTGGGAATCTTAAATCATTCTAAAAGGCCCCACCTCTACTAACACTTCAGACACTGGATTTCCAAAGTTCAAAACTGTAAGAAATAAATTTCTACTGTTTACCAGCTCTCCTGCTTGTGCAGTTTTATTAGAGTAGCCCAAATGGACTAAGACACGTAATAAATATCATATATATAAATATTAGATATAACCAACATAACAAATAAGATACAGAATATTTTCATCACTTAAGGAAATCCCCTTATGCCTTTCTTATCAGAAATTCACCGATTCTTTTATAAAGATTTATTTTTATTGGAAAGACAGAAATCAGATTTACAGAAAGAAGGACTTCAAATGGCTTCAACTGCTGGAACTGAGTCAAACCAAAGTCAGGAGCCAGGAGCTTCTTTCAGGTTTCTCATATGGGTGCAGGGTCCTAAGGCTTTGAGGTCATCCTCCTCTGCTTTCCTAGGCCACAAGCAGGGAGCTGAATTATAAGCGGAATAGCCAGGGCAGGAACCAACACCCATCTAGAATCCTGGTGCTTGCAAGGTGAGGATTTAGCCATTGAGGCACCAAGCTGGGCTCTAAATTTGCTGATTTTTAATATTCAGGTTAGTTTTGTTTGGGCCCTCATACAAACACAATCAAACAGAATCACCACTTGTGCTCTTTCTGACTTCTTCCATATACTTTGTCCATCCTAAATATCCAAAGTTTTCTTCTCTTAAAAACCATACTCTTCCAGCTGAAAAGAATTCATCTCAATTTATTGTCCATGTTGGCTACTGTCATAATCATTTTCACACAACTAATTCTCTTTATAGATATTATGTTTTCACATCTGTTAGGAGGGGTCATTGGATAGGAAAATATCAACTATTTAAGAAACTGTTCCTCAAAGCAGTTTCATTGCCACACATTTCTATCAGTACACCATGACAGCTTCAGTTATTCTACAAACCTGTTAGCACTTAGTGTTTCTGGTTATCACAGCTAAGTGGTGGTATTTCACTGTGGTTTTAAATAACAGTTCTCTGATGACACATGATGCCATACATCTTAGCATGAGCTCACCGGCTATTTGTTTATCTTCTTTTTAACAGCACTGTGCCCTCTCATTGCAGGAGGCAGGAAGAGACACTCTTTCCCTCTGCCAAGCCTTTTATAACAGTTATTGGAGAGTTGGTATGGGTTCTGCAGCAATCACTCCAACCCTGAAAGGCCAGACCTCCTCCCAACACTGCTGCAAGGAGGGTTAAATTTCAAAATGATTGTGAGGGAGCAAGAATTCTGAAACCACAGTAATTACTGATGGAGAAGTCCAGGTAAGAGTAACAATGGGATGGACTAGACAATAATATTATACACAGGACTACTGATCTGGCACATTTCTCGAGGGACAAGTGAGAAGTATTGCTGATGAGACTGTACCTACAAGGCAAGTATTCCATATTATGTAAAATTAAAGTAACCATGAGCATTGTTTTCTATAAATTTTAACAGGCATTTCAATAGCTACACAGCAAAGGAAAATGACCAAATACAAAAAATAAATTTTGCCTCAGCTGTACCGATCCATGTAGTTTCTTTCAAAATAATAACACTATTTATGAACAAGAACAAACTCAAAAGTTATACTATCATATTTTTATGGATAAGTGTGTGTGATGGATGCAAACTTGTCAACTGCTCAAAGTAGTTCATCATTAAAAGACAGGTCAGAAATTCTTACGGGCCCTAATGGCTTTAACCAACATGAAATTCGAAGTGCACTTGGCCTAAAGGGGTCTTCTGTCTCATTTATCTCTTGTAGAACTCTGATTTGTGAATGTCAAATATATCATACCTACCCAACCGCTTTTTAAGTTGAATGTCCAGGTTTAGAAAATTTGTTAATCATTTTCTGCTTATCATGCTCAAATTCAGACCTGGCATGGTAACCTAGCAGCTAAAGTCCACACCTTGCACATGCCAGGATCCCACATGGGTGCCGGTTCTAATCCCTACATTCCCACTTCTCATCCAGCTCCTTGGTTGTGGCATGGGAAAGCAGTCAAAGACAGTCCAAATCCTTGGGACCCTGCACCTGTGTGGAGAGACCCAGAAGAGGATCTGGGCTCTGGGCTTTGGATCGGCCTAGCTCAGGCCATCACGGCTGCTTGGGGAGTGAATCAGCAGACGGAAGATTCTTTTCTCTGTCTCTCCTCCTCTCTGTATATCTGACTTTTTAATAAAAATAAAATAAATCTTTAAAAAATGTATCTTTAAAAAAACAAAGTTCAAAATTTTAAAAAGAGTACTTGGGTCCCTAGCATTCATGCAGGAGACTGGGAATAAGCTCCTGGATTTGATCTGGACTAGTCCAGGCCAATGTGACTATCTAGGGACTAAAAAAAGTGGACTGAAGATCTCTCATCTCTCTTCACTCTGCCTTTCTAATAAATAACTCTTTATAAGATAGATAGATGAAAAGATCGCAGTCAACAGAATAAAAGTCAGAATGAAATGCAAGAAATTTAAAAGTAACTCTTAAAGCAAGAAAAAAGGGCCCAAGATCCAGAGGTCATTAAAATACAAACTAAATTCAATCAGGTTCCATGCACTCCTACCCAGCAAGAAACACCACAAAGTCTTACTAAAAGAAAAAAAAGCAGAGAATGTAACATTCAGTTTTTTATTTACACTATGACTGCCAGACACCAGTGGCTGAAAACAACAAAAGTTTATACAGCTCTATTAAACTGGAAGCTCAAAGAGTTTTTGTAGACTAAAATCATACAGTCAGCAATGCTGTCTTACAACAAATTCTAGAAGAGAATCACTGTCTTTGCCTCTCCAGGTAGTAGAAGCCATCAGTACACTAAAACAAGTAAATGCCTTTCTCTGTTGATTTGTTATCTGTTGTTTAGTATTTGCACTACACAGGAATATGTTTAACATAATTGGGTTTAGGCCCAGGGCAATGGCTTCACAGTTTAATCCTAATCATGCAAGCGCTAGGATCCCATACAGACCTCAGTTCATGTCCCAGCTGCTCCAAGTGCTATCCAGCTCCCTGCCTACAGGCTGGGAAAGCAGTGGAGAATGACACAAAGCCTTGGGACCTTGACCCTGCATGGGAGACCCAGAAGACGCTCCTGGCTCCTGCTTTGGCTTGGCTCAGCCCCAGACACCGTGGACATTTGGGGAGTGAACCAGCAGATGCAAGATCTTTCTATCTCTGTAAATCTTACCTGCTTTTCCAATAAAAAAATAAATTAAAAAAAAAGTTAAAAATAACAGCTTATTCTCTTATGTTTTAATAATCTCTGAATCTTAATGTCTTCTCCTAGAAGGACTATTTTTTAATTTCTTGTGTTTTATTCTAATGCTTTAATTTAATGATGAACTATAGTATCAATCTTGGCTTCTTTTCCTTTCTTGGCTCATGCTCTCCTACTGCCTTCAAAGCCAGAAATCCTGCCTTTGTTTGTAGTCACATGTTAATTTGACCATAGTCTCACAGTCAAGAAAATCTTTCCACTATTAAGAACTTGTAAGAAACACTGGACCTATCCAGATAATCTCTCCATATCAAACTTTATAACCATAGCAACACTTACAAAATCCTAGAACTTTTTCAGAGTCTGGAATTAGATCATGGTTGTCCTTGAGGGGATGGAAAGCACATTGTTTTGTCTACTACAAACGTAATAGAAAAATTTTTTTTCCTTTAAATTATTTCCAAAAATTATAGGAAAAGAAAAAACAAAAAAATACAAACACCAAAACAGGTCCATGAATAAAATTCACAGAAGAAAAATATAAACACCATAACACAAATTTAAGAAAATTTATACAGCAGTATGCAAAGGCTCAGTGGCTAAATCCCTGTTTTTCATGCACCAGTATCCCAATAGGTGCCGGTTAATGTACCAGCTGTTCCACTTCCCATCCAGCTCCCTGCTTGTAGCCTGGGAAAGCAGCAGAGGATGGCCCAAAGCCTTGGAACGCTGCACCTGCGTGGGAGACCCAAATGAAACGCCCAGCTCCTGGCTTAAGATGGCTTAGCTCCAGCTGTTGTGAACACTTGGGGAGTGAACCAGAAGATGGAAGATCTTTCTGTTTCTGCTTCTCTCTGTAAATCTGCCTTTCTGATAAAAAATAAGTAAATCTTTAACAAAATGTAAAAATTTTAACTTCATTCACAGTAAGAGGAATGCAAAATATCAGTTTAAATTTTTTTTTATTTATTTTTATTGGAAAGTCAGACATACAGAGAGGAGAGACAGAGAGGAGATCTTCCATCCGATGCTTCACTTCCCAAGTGACTGCAATGGCTGGTGCAGTGCCAATCTGAAGCCAGGAGCACATATCCTCTCCCCGGTCTCCCACGTGCGTGCAACATCCCAAGGATTTGGACTATCCTCGACTGCTTTTCCAGGCCACAAAGAGAGCTGGATGGGAAGCAGGATTAGAACTGGCGCTCATATGGGATCCCAGCACGTTCAAGCTGAGGACTTTAGCCACTAGGAATATTTTTAAGAGGAGTTCACGAAAGCACAAAGTGAGTTAAAGTGGAAAAAAAAGACTGAAAATTTAAGACGCACATATTTTATCATGCATCAACTTCTATTTCTGGTTTGGTTTTAAAATCTTGATTTTGTTTATTGAAATGTGGGCATACAGAGAAAAAGGGAGATGGAGGGAGGGGGAGCTCTTGCAGCCACTGGTTCACTCCCCAAATGACTGTTAACAGCCAGGGTTGGGTTAGATGAATTCAACCCAAGCAGGAGTCTGGAACTCCATCACCTTGGGCTTTCATCACATGGATGTCAGAGGCCAAGCACATAGGTCATTTGCTGCTGCTTTACCAAGCTCATTTGTATGGAATTAGAATGGAAATGAAGCAGCCAAGACTCTACCTATATGGGATACTAGCATCACAGGTAGTAGGTTGAAATCACTGCATTACAACATCATCGGCTTCCTATTCACTTTCCTCTATGTGTATGAAATTATAACTTTATGAGTATAAAGAGAAACACAATAAAAAGGAATTGGTTGAATTATGAAGCATCTGTTCAGTGAAATACTATATAATCATGAGAAAAATGAAATGAGCAGATACCAAGTTCTATTAAGTTTCCTTTTTGCTCCAAAAAAAAGATGGATAAATATGTTTAATATACTACAACTTATAGGGGAAAATGCATATACCCATTCACTTGTGAATATACCTAGGAACAAAATCTTGACATAAAAGTGGTAAATATGGTAAATATGTCTCCAGGGAGAGGAAATCAGACAGTTACAGAGGTA